GTATAGTATAGTGATATATGGGTCCTGAAATCAGACTGGCAATTGAATCCCAGCTCTGTCATTTTCTTGGTACATGAAGGTTTCTTGGTACATGAAGGTTTCTTGGAACAGTTACTTAACCTCCCTGTACTCCAGTTTCATCATCGTAAAAGACAGTATGTATATGATAGGATTACCACAGGGATTAAAAGACTTACCAAATGAAAAGTGCTTGCTACTATATAATTCCAGTGCTTGTACCAAAATAATACCTTCATTCTATAATGAAGAATTACAGAATCTAATAAAATATTTAAGGCCACAAAGTCCTATAAACAATCAGACTAATTAAAGACAAATTCTTCTAGGCAAAATGAGACTGTCCACTGCAAAGGTCTCCAAATCATTTCATATTAAAAAAAAAATATCTTACCACTGTAACCTTTAAAAAAATAATAATAAAATCTTGAGAAATGGTTAAAATAATAATAACTAACACTTTCATAGTCCTTTTCATTCCCACTGTTCTTAGCACTTTACATAAAGTAACTCATTTACAATCCTCAGGTACATGAGGCCCTAAGAGAACAAGTCACAAGTCGGTGCTGGATTCAGAATCCAAACCCAGGCAGTCTGGCTCCAGAGTCTACATACTTCATTACAACAGAAAACTCCCTAATGCCTGAGATAAATTCTCCTATGTGGTCTCACATGTATTAGGCCCTCAATCAATGTTTCACTGTCTTACCATATCAACTGGAAATCAGCTTGCTTTCTATTTTTAATGTTCATTTCCTCAAAGGTCAAGAAATTAAAGAATGATGCTGAGGGCAATTCCCTGGCAGTCCAGTGGTTAGGACCCTGCGCTTTCACTGCCAAGGGCATGGGTTCAATCCCTGGTGGGGGATCTAAGATCCCACAAGCCCCACGGTGCGGCCAGAAAAAAAAAAATGATGCTGAGGAAAAATGAAAAAAAATTCTCATTCCTTCCTTTACAGCAACTTATTTACATAGTTTTTGCGAGAAAAGGGGACTTCAAAACCTTTGACCATAAATACTCTGAATTTGATAAAGTGCCAAATAAGACTATATCATGAAATTCAGCTACTATGTGTTTACCCTACAAACCTACCAACTCCATCCAAATAAAAAAATTACCTATTAGGAAACAGAGATAGATGCCACAGGAATTACTTTTGTACAGCAACCAGGATAGAACATAAATCTCAAAAAACACGGTCAACAAAGAATGTGATTGAACATACTCTGTCATGTCTGTGCATACCCCTTTGTCAAACATGAAATATGACATCAACACACCTGAGGAAAGAAAAAGGGGAGTCTTCAATGTAGAGCCTCATACCAGCCCTTTCTCATCCACACGGCAGACACATATGCTAGTGACCTCCGTGCACTGCTAGAGTTAGGATTCTCCACAACTAACTTAGTCTACCTGTCTGTGATAGGTTCTCTCCAAAGACAGTCTCCATCAATTCCTTCTACCCTACTCCCATGCTGCTCTGCCCATCAAGAGATAAGAACATATTTTTCTCTCCCTGAATCTGGGCTGACCCTGTGACTTGCTCTGACCACAGAATATGGCAGAAGCGATAATGTGCCAGTTCCAGGACTGACAGCATCCACCTTCACTCTTGGAAGCCAACCACCAGGCTGCAAGGAAATTCAGGATGTCCCACTGGAGACAGAGACCATATAGAGAGACCTGGATGATAAGACACTACTAGGAGAGGCCACATTGAAGGTGCCAGACCAATGAGTTGAAACCCTGATGCCCTGTCTAACCCAGCCTAGCCACCAGCTGAAAGCAGACAAATGAGTGACCCCAACTGATGCGACACAGGGCAGAAGAACGAACCAGACAAACCCTGCCCAAATTCCTAACCCACAGGATCGTGAGAAACACATCATTGTCTCAAGCCACAAATTTGGAGGTGGTGTGATACTGTGATTTATAATAAGAAATACATATTTGGTCTTAGTCCCCATTTTTGGCACAGAGCTCCTAAAACCCTTGAAATTTCCTGAGTGATAGAAGTCTTTTGTCATTCATAAGGAGTCTCTTTTAAACTTATGCTAACAGGTGACTTAGGGAGGTACCCCTAGAAAGCCTCAGGATGGGGCTGGTCACCAGAAAGACCAAGTGATTAGAAGATTGGAACTTTCAGTCTCACCCACTGACCTCTGGGAGAGGAAAGGGGATAGATGGGCCTGCAGATTAAGCGCTATAAAAACTACTGAAGGGACTTCCCTGGTAGCGCAGTGGTTGGGACTCCTCGCTCCCAGTGCAGGGGACCCGGGTTCAATCCCTGCTCGGGGAACTAGATACCACATGCATGCCACAACTAAGAGTTTGCATGCCACGACTAAGGAGCCGGCATGCCGCAACTAAGGAGCTGGCGAGCCACAACTAAGGAGCCCACCTCCCGCAACTGAGACCCAGTGCAACCAAATGAGTAAACAAATGGATATAAAAAATACATACACACACACATACATACATACATACATACTACTGTACAAGATCTGATGAGTTTCCAGGCTGGTGAACACATTCACAGCCCAGGAGGGTGATGCACCCCAGTTCCACAGGGACAGAGGCTCCTGTTCTTGGGACCCTTCCAGATCTTGCCCTATGTACTTCTTCATATGGCTGTTCATCTGAATCCTTTATAATAAACTGGTAAATATAAGTAAATATTTGAGTTCTGTGAGCCACTCTATCAAATTAGTCCAACCCAAAAAGGGGGTTGTGGGAACCTACCACCTATAGCCCATCAATCAGAAGCACAGGTTACAACCTGGACTTGCAATCAGTGTCTAAAGTTGAGGGGGTGCAATTTTTTGGGACTGAGCCCTTAAACCTGTGGGATCAGATGCTATATCCAGGTAGAGAGTGTCAGAACTGAGTTAAATTTGTCGGACACCCGGTCAGTGTCTGCTGAGAATTGGAGAAATGCTTGCCAGTTTTGGAAAAAAAAACACACATCAGAGGTGGTTTTTGTACAGCAACAGATAACTAAAACACTACTACCTAATACCCAGTGTACGTAATGCCTTGTTAGGACTCTATCTTCCTCACTAGACTATAAGCTCTGTGAGGGCAAAAATCATGTCTGTCCTAGTCCAGTACCTACTTTAGTGCCTAACATAGAAGAGAATGAATATGTGTGTGTATTTATATCCAATTGTGAGGAAAGCCCAAAACAAACACCAAACTCTCATAAATAGCAACACCTAGGTGAAAAAAAAGTGGTTATAGGTAGTGCTGTTGGTTCAAGGTCATAAATTCAATTTCTACGAGTCAAATATCTCCAAAAAGAGAAAACTTTGTACCATTAACTAATCTCAACAAGTCATTTCATTATGTACATGTCATTAATCAAGACAAGGCCAGGCAACAGAGTATGAACAGGGCAAATCCATCCCTACCACTACTAAGGGGGAGGGGGGGGCTACACCTAAAAAAATACATATACAGAGATGACAGGAGTCTTTTGTACTTTTTGTACTCATATAACAATGCTTCTTTATACTCATATTTGAAACACAGCATATTTAGAACAAAATACAGAAGCAGTGGATTTTCTGAAAGCAAGGTTGGGAATATGGGATATTGTATCTTCTGAGCTTGAGAGTGCTGGATATAAAAGTGATGTGATTTAATGGGTAAAGATAAGACTAATAGGTAAGAAGCTTCAATGACTGATTCCTACCACTGAGGTGTTATATAATCTTGAACAAATCACACTCTACATATAAAAACTGAAAGTAATAACACCCTCTCTTTCTACCTTAAAGGAATAATATCCTTGGAGTATCTTAGGAGTCGCAAAAAGTTCAAGGCAGGATTACAACTTTTCTAAGTAAAAGTCAAGTTAGGAACCAACAGTAATCAGAATAAACAATAAATGGGACTTCACACAAAGAAGTCCGGCACATGCAGCTCTAAGAGAAAGTGCAAAGGAAACTACGGTGGCTATGAAGCAGAATCAGAGAGTACCTCTAATTAATCACCCGACAAACTAAAAGCAAATAATTTCATGGAATCAAGACCTATACAATCAAAATTATACACAGCCCCTTTATAAGCAGCCAAAGACCAGAAATAAAATGTTAATAGAACCTGCACCTGTACTGTAGACATGCACAGCATTTATGTTCAGAATTATAAATACTCTAAAATACAACTGGTCTGCCTCTAGAAAGGTAGGCTAAGAGACAATAGTGAATCAAGTACCTGTAAAAGGTTGTCAGCCCAAATTTACCAAGAGATAAGCAAGCAATGTAACCTCTTTTTCTCATATCTATCTTTTTCTCATACACTCCCCAGGGCGTTTTTTATATATAAACTCAGTGTAAGGAAGACCACTACAGGGTATATCACAAATAAGCTAACAACTTTCCAAAATGCTTTGAACATATACAACTAAAAAATTCTAGTGACTGTTATTATAATGAAGGGGAGGAAAAAAACACCAGCTTTTCTGCTATAGATTTTGCTGACTACGGCTTCCTGAAGTAACTCACAATGATATAACCTAATGTCTGCAACATAGTAAACTTTACGCTCCTATGATCAAAGCTAGAAACAGAAAGCCGTAAGACCCAAATTTGAGACTGACAATCTTCCTTACTCTCACTTACCTCAGAAGAATGAAGAGAAAAGAAACGAAGCTTCACCTGCAAACTCTTCTGGGGAAAACAGTGAGCTGAGAACCCCTGAAAACTCAAGGAAGAACACAGAGGAAACCACTGAACCAAAAAGAAATTGAAGCTCAATTTTTGAGTCCCAAGCTGTCAACAGAATCAGGACCAGGAAGGCTACTGCTAAGTGCACAAAAATGGCAAGAGATTTCCTACTAGCAAGCAAAAAAGAAAGAAAAAAGAGTAGCTTTTGATGGAAGAAATTTCACAGAAACAAAAACAGCTTAACCCCAGAAATGGGAACTGACCCCAGCTGCCTCAGGCAAACAGGCCTAATGGCTTTGGCAACAACATACCTTTCATCCACCAACAACATTAGGAGGCTGAAGTAGAGCCGATTTCAAATCACGAAGGATCACATCTTTCTGTTTTCTGCGTAGTCTTTGGGAAAAAGAGTCCAGCTCTCCTCCCTGGAGTACCACACTGCCCCCAGTAGTTCCTGGAAACTCCTGGAGCCACAGCAACAGTACTGTAAAAAGCTTTGAGAACATTAAGCCAGGTATCCTCACAAGCCCAGACAGGTAAGATTACTCACCAGACAAATAAGAACATTTAAACCTGGAAGAGGTTAAGAAATTCATCTAGGTTTGCAAGATGAGTCAGTAGGCAAAGCAGGATTTGAATTCAGGCTTTTCCTTCAGATAGTATCAGAGCTTGACTCTCAGTCCTTGGCTCAGCAGATACTGTGTTCAGTGTTCTCCAATGTTAGAGTCAGCCCAGGTCAGGTTCTTGGCTGACTAGAATAGGGAAAGGAAAAATTTCCCTCAAGGCTTCAGGAAAAGGAGAAGTCAAATTATTAAATGCAGAGCTCTTATGCTAAAAGGTCCAGATGCCCTTCTACCTTGCCAATCACATTTCTCAGCCAATCAAAATAAGGCACTGGATTTTAAGAACCTACTCATTTTAAGCTCTCACTAGAAGTTGGATGGTATTTTCCCTACTTCCCAAATAAAAAACACTTAAGGGGGACTGGAAAGATGGAAAAGCAGTAACAGCCAGCCAGCAAGTGTTTACTGAGTATCTATGTACTCAGCACTATTCTAGGCACTGAGGATACTACAGCGAATGAGAAATACCTGCCCTCAAGGAGCTTATGTGACTATTTATGTAATTTAAAAAATGATGACACTTTCAAGTACTGATAAATGTGAGGAAGAAAATATGAAAAGTAATGTTTTTGGGGGGGACAGATTAAAGGAAGGAAATCAACAGTTCAGAATCACTTTCTAGTTTTCTATGACTATGAGCCTGAGAAAATATGAATAACTCAGGAGAAACTTTAAAATATTTTCATACAAACTAATACTATAATAAATATAATCCAACATCACTTCCTATATATTTTTTTTTTTTGCAGTATGCGGGCCTCTCACCGCTGCGGCCTCTCCTGCCGCGGAGCACAGGCTCCGGACGCGCAGGCCCAGTGGCCATGGCTCAAGGGCCCAGCCACTCCGCGGCACACGGGATCCTCCCAGACCGGGGCACGAACCCGCGTCCCCTGCATCGGCAGGCGGACCCCCAACCACTGCGCCACCAGGGAAGTCCTATCACTTCCTATTTTTAAATAATTATATATAAGACTAAATTTGAAATAGCATTAAAAGAAAGTATTCTTATCTCAAAAGTTACAGCAATCTTAAAGCCTTACAAGTACATGGCAGTAAGATCCCAATATTTATCCAATCATCCACCAACTGATAAAGACAAGCCCAGTGGCAGAGTATAACACATATATTTAAAGCAATACTTCTATCGAACATTCACTGAATATGTGCTACACACCTGACAGTGCTAAGCACTTTTCCACACATTATCTCATTTACTTCTCACAGCAACACTATGAAGATAAGTATTATCATTATCCCCATTTACAAATCACAAAACTGAGGCTTAGAGAGGTTAAATGATTTGTCCATGTGGAGGAGAGATTCAAAATCAAATCAGATGGGACTTCCCTGGCAGTCTAGTGGTTAAGACTTTACCTCCAATGCAGGGGGAGTGGGTTCGATCCCTGGTCAGGGAGCTAAGATCCCACATGCCTCAGGGCCAAAAAACCAAAACATAAAACAGAAGCAATACTGTAACAAATTCAATAAAGACTTAAGAAAAAAGAAAAAATCAGATGCCAAAGTGCATACTCTAACCACTACACTATATTGTTTCTACAGAACAAGCACTAAACCTCAGATACAGAAAAAAATCCTTTTCGTGTCCTCACACCTAGGTCAAAATTACAAAGAGTTAATTCAGGAGACAGAAAGAGAAGGAATAAATCTGAGTGAATCTGAGTCAGAACACAGTACTGTAACCTTAGGCAAATTCCACAATACCCATGCCTCAACCTCCCTATCTATAAAGGAGTTAACCACACCAGCACTAACCATTACTTGCCTCCTGGTAGGTTGTGAGTGTTAATTACTAACTGTAATAAATACACAGATCATCAGTTGAAAGAAACAAGGAAAACTACAGCATTATTATTATTGCCTTGTTGCTAGAGCAAAACACCAGAAATCAACATAAATAAGTTATGTACACCAAGAATGTAGGGTTTGAATATGTACTTTGAAAGGCAATCATATAATAAGTTGTTTTACCTCTAATTTTTTTCCTTTTTTTTTTTTTAATTTAAAAAAGCAATACAGGGACTTTCCTGGTGGTTCAGTGGTAAAGAATTCGTCCTGCAATGCAGGGGACGCGGGTTCGATCCCCGGTCGGTCGGGGAACTAAGATCCCACAGGCTGCAGGGCAACTAAGCCCTCGCGCCAAACTACTGAGCTCACACACCTCAACGAGATAGCCCACGTGCTGCAAACTACAGAGCCCACGCGCTCTGGTGCCTGCACGCCACAACTACAGAGCCCATGTGCTACAACTAGAGAGAGAAAACCCACACTCCACAACTAGAGAGAAGCTCTCATGCTGCAACGAAGAGCCCGTGCGCCGCAACGACCAAAAAGATCCCACATGCCTTAACGAAGGTCCCGCGTGCCGCAACTAAGACCCAATACAGCCAATCAATCAATCAATCAATCAATAAAGTGGGGTGGGGGGAGCAGTACAGGAATTTCCCTGGCGGTCCAGTGGTTAAGACTCCAAGCTCCGAATGCAGGGGGCATGGGCTCAATCCCTGATTCGGGAACCAAGATCCCACATGTGGCACAGCATAGCCAAAAGAAAAAAGCAACATATACCATACAGCATTTATCCCAGAGAACGCATGTTCGCACAAAAAAAGGTACACAAATGTCCACAGCATCTCTATCAGTAATAGTCAAGAACTGGGAAAAAACTCAGATGTTCTTCAATGGGCAAGTGATTAAACAAACTAAAGTATATCCAAACTATGGAATACTACTCAGCAATTAAAAAGAAAGGGGCACTGGGACCTCTCTGGTGTTCCAGCGGTTAAGGCTCTGCACTCTCAATGCAGGGGGCCCAGGTTCCATCCCTGGTCAGGGAACTAGATCCTGCATGCTGCAACTAAAGACTGACACAGCCAAATAAATAAATAAGTAAATAAATATTAAGAAAGAAAAGAAAGGAGCACTATTGATTCATGCAATTTAGATGACTCTCCAGGGAATTACATTGATTGAAAAAGGCCAATCCAAAAGGTTACATGCTGGGAATTCCCTGGCGGTCCAGTGTTTAGCACTCAGCACTTTCACTGCCTGGGCTGGGTTCAATCCTTGGTCGGGGAACTAAGATCGCATAACCAGCAGCGCAGGCAAAAAAACTTTTTCTTTAATTAAGAGAAAAAAAAAAAGGTTACACACTATATGATTTTATTCACATAACATTCTTTTTTTAAAAAATTAATTTTATTTTTGGCTGCGCTGGGTCTTCGTTGCTGCATGTGGGCTTTCTCTTGTTGCAGCGAGCGGGGGCTACTCTATTGCAGTGCATGGGCTTCTCACTGTGGTGGCTTCTCTTGTTGCAGAGCACGGGCTCTAGGCACGTGGGCTTCAGTAGTTGTGGCACGTGGCTCAGTAGTTGTGGCTCCCGGGCTCTAGAGCGCAGGCTCAGTCATTGTGGCGCATGGGCTTAGCTGCTCCGCAGCATGTGGGATCTTCCCGGACAAGGGATCGAACCCATGTCCCCTGCAATGGCCGGCAGATTCTTAACTGCTGCACCACCAGGGAAGTCCCACATAACATTCTTGAAATGACAGGTTGCCAGGGACAGATATGGCCGGGGGAGTGGGAGATGGGCCATCTTCCCCAGGGGGTATCTTCCCTTGATCATCTGCACAAAAACTTTATTGCAACTTTACCCACTGCACTATCAGATCATTATGATTTGGTGCGAGGGGGAGCAGCAGTGGCTATAAAATGGCATCAGGAGAGATCCTGTGGGATGGAAATGTTCTGCATCTTATCTGTGTCAATGGCAATACCCAGGTTGTGACAGTATTCTATGGTTCTGTAAGATGTTACCATTGGGGGAAACTGGGTAAAGGACACACAGGATCTATCTCACTATTCTTTCTTACAACTGCACGTAAACCTACAATAACCTGTAAACAAAAAGTTTAATCAGAAATGAAGGCAACACATGCCTCTTGTAACAAGTAAAACAGTAGTCTGTGGTCAATCTCTTTCCCTACCCATTCCATTCCCTCCCTCTTGAGATAACCATGCAAACTCACTGCTCATACAAACAGGCATGCATTTAATACTTTTTGTTTATTGTATCAAAATGGGATCATACATACTACACATTACCCTGCAGCCTATCTTCTTCACCTATCATCACTATATCATAGAGAGCTAAAAAAAAAAAAAAAAAATTTAAGTGCCAAGCAGGATGGCAGGTATAGAAAATTTTCTGACTGGGGCAAATCTGACAAATGTTTACCGTGCTAATGTGCCATAGCTGAGCCAGGTGCATTCAGTGAGAGCACAATATACAAGTAGCATTCTAAAGAGATCTGCAAAAATGCAAGTTCTTCAGCAGCTCTTCGAGGATCCCATCCCCCTCTCTGCCTCCTCCATGGAACCATCCCGGGGGGCCCATGGAGGAAGAAATGCTAAATGATTTCTTTTCAGCAGAAAACTGCAAGGGGGGTTAATTCTCCCACATACTGAAGCCATAGCAAACAAACTTCCCTGAAAATGTATTCCTCCTTCAAGCAGAAGTGCAAAATATATTGTTGATAACATTTAAGACATCCATTTGTAAAAAAGCAACTACCACGATTAAGCGCTTAATGTTTTATGTACTGTATCTCTAGAGCGCCCTCCTACCCCACTACCATTTTACAGACCAAAACCTGGCTTGATGTGAAATTACTTGCCCATGATCAAACAGCCAGCAAGTGGTAAAGCTGGCATTCAAAGGTACAAGTGCTTTTTCCACTTTATCAGGTTTTCCTATAATATCACATGTCAACAGAAGAGATTCAATAAGTGTAATAAGTGTATTTAGGCAGAATCCATTTTCTAAATGTCTGCTGACTTTGATTCAACCTTTTTTTCCATTTAGCATGTCTGGGGGGACTATATTATGTGCCAGGACCTATCATAGGTGACAGTGAAAGAGAGGTAAAAACAAACAAACACAACGCAGAAAAGGCCTCCAACCTCAAAGAGCTTTCAAACTGCAACTGCAATATACTGAAACTATAACTGCCATATTGATATGTGGCGAGTGTTACCCTCAAGGAAGTACAAAGTGCTGTGGGTTTGAAGAATCCAGCTCTCCTCCCGAAATCAAGTGACATTAGCTTCCTTACAATTGTTCTTAGTTTCAATTCCACTCATATTCTACAAGTCACATATTTCTCTTCGTGATCTCTGGCAAAAGGTCTGCAATGTCCTTCTATACAAAACACTGCCCCAGACACGCTCAATTAGTATGAACAGAAGCTGCCAGCTCAAATCAGCAGAAAGCTCCTTAATGCTGTAATTTTTTGAAATTTTGGCAATGAAAAGAAATTAACCTTTTTGGTGAAATCATGGATGTGCAGAGTTAAAAGTGACTTAGACATCATTTTGAACATAGAGACTTAAAAAGGTAAAAATTCACTTGTCCATTGTTACAAGACTCATAAGGGCAGCTCTCAGACAAAAGCCCAGGTCTCTCAACTCATTGTATGGAGTTCCTTTCCACTCCTGCTTCTTTCTTTTAAGTCCAATGAAAAACTTAGTGATGTTCAAGTTTTCTCATTTCATCAATGATAGATGCATTCATGAATCATGTGTAGTTTAAAGATGAACTTTATCAAAAACAGACGTGCTAAGCATGATGAGATACATATATACAGAGGTAAAGGACTGCCTATCCTTGATAA